GTAGTTCTCTCCTCGGGGTTGCCAGATCTGTGGAATTGGGCTATTTTTAAAGTGTTGCTGCATGCTGAATTTTTTTGTCTGCTGATTTGGGAAGACCTGTTTTGCACAAAGTACATGAATAATATCTAGAAATACAGCTCACACGATCATATGCTGTCGCATTCACAGTCTCCATACTTCAACCCAAATGAACCTCTATGAGAGAATTTGGAGCAATGTGTGAGACAGCGTTCTCAACAGCCGTCAAATCACAAAATTTGGGAATATCTTTGGGGAGAATGGTGTTCATCCTTCCAGTAGAGTTACGGAGATTTGCAGCATCAATGAATCAATGCCAAGGAGCACTGGCCCATCACTTTACTAAGACGCTTCATGTTGGTTTTTCCTTTAATTTGTCACCTGTCTGTACATTTACAGGACAGATATGAGATTAGAATCGACCGTCTCATCATTTTGACACAACTGAAGCTGTCTAACACATCAAACTATTTAAATATTCACAACTTTTTATTCTTTATTCGTTCCAACAGAGAGGGATGCGTTTGATACTTTGCTGGATCACGCACCTGACAAGCTCAACGTGGTTAAAACGGTAAAAAATGCCCTTTATTTGTACATGTAGAAATGGAATACTTTAAATGTAACACTGTAGTAATGACTGACAGCTTTTTCTTCTCTCACCAGTCACTCATCACCTTTGTGAACAAGCATCTTAACAAGTTGAATCTGGAAGTTACTGAGCTGGAATCTCAGGTGAGGGATTTTATTGGTTTAGCTACAGACTCATTACATCACTGTCACAGCATGATCCACTGAGTTATTAATTCTATCATCAGTAGTATGTGTGTTATGTAACAAGGTTTCATCCTGCCATGTACCCTCCATCTACTGCTACCGCTCAGATTTTAATTTTAAAAGTACGAAATGTGATCTGCTCATGTAGTGGAAGAGAATGTGCTGTATTCATGTAGTGTGCCTCCTTTGTGTGTGATTATATGTATTCATATATTAAATGTATCGTATGTTCAGTTTGCTGATGGAGTGTACCTGATTCTACTGATGGGGCTGCTGGAGGACTACTTTGTCCCTCTGTACAACTTCTTCCTCACCCCGGAGAGCTTCGAGCAGAAGGTGATTTCACCTTACAACGGTAAAATTGGAGGATTTTTCAAAGCAATGTTTGAGGCTATTAAGCATCAATTTTATTCCTCCTCAGGTCCACAATGTGGCATTTGCTTTTGAACTGATGCAGGACGGCGGACTGAAGAAACCCAAAGCCAGACCAGAAGGTATTTTACTGTTATTTTGCATTATTACAGGATCAAATAAAAGATGAAACACATGAATTTCCCAGGAGAGATTTTATGAAGACTGACTACTTTCTACAAGCATTGCACTGTTGGTCTCCTCCAGCAACAGTCATGTTAAAGGCTGTCCAGTAGGTGGAAACCTTGCCTTAAGCTCTATAACTGGATGGATGCTGCTCAGTTCATTCCGCCCTGAGCTGCACTTTGTTGTTCCTTTTTCAAGAGAGATTACACTTAAAGAAAATAACTTAATGTTTTTATGTAATTGTTGTAGGCAAAATATTTTTCCAAATTCGTCACAGTTCTGTTTTTTTCTTTCATGTTTTGTGTAGCTACACCACAATTAAAAATGGTTTTACACGAAACCTGAAAAAAACTGTTTCCAGAATGTGATCTAGTATAGCTGATTACCTACTTAAAATGAAAGTAGGTGAACATTACCATAATTTAGTGGTTGGCCATCTTGTTTGTAGAACATGAATGAATGAATGGATGAATGGATGAATTATTATTTTGCATGCCAAACCTGCATGGGTTTGCAAGACATCACAAATTCACAAATGCTGCATATGCACTTTTTTTTAAACAACTGTATAAAAAAGTTTCAAAATACAGAAAACAATTGATGTTGAAAGAGTATTTTATTAGATTTACTTGTTTGGGAATTAAAATCATATAGTTAAGATTCAATACAATTACTACACATCTGCATTCAGAATCAGAAACAGCTGGTCAAACATGTCATCACACTGTATTAAAGCATTTTTATTGGACTGTAAGTCACTCTTTTTTATATACTTGTGTAACTTAGCATCACTCCTGCTGTACCTCTTCATATTTATTATTATTCTTTTATTCTGCTTCATCATACCAAATGTTGCATATTCAATATCTGAAACACTCCGTTCTCACATTTTAATTACGGAGTACTATTGACTTAATTATACAGCTTTTGCCCTTTTTAAAAAAACAAAAACAAAACACTCTTAAAACATTGAAGTAGCACAAGCTACAAAAGATTTTCAAGATGTGTAAATATTTTCTGCTGTGCTAAATCAAATGCTTTTTTTCTTACTTTAAACAGTTTCCTGATAAAGCCAAAAACAGAAACATTTCTTTGCCCAAAAATCCCTACTTGCAATCACTACTTATAATTTTTGCAGTAATTTAAATCATTATAGCCGTTATCATAATAGCCTCTCTGATTAGTATTGTGTTTGCTCACTTTTGTGCACATCTGCAGATTCTGTATAAACAACAATAGAGACCCCAAACAGTGTAATGCAGATGTTTAGGTTAATAATATATGCTAGTTTAACTGGTGATGCAAAGGCGCTGCTGTTGTCTGGCTGGACTCACTTAAATCTGGCCTAGTTGTGATGATAAATTCAAATAAGCAAACAAGCCTTATGTAGAACACCATAGTACCTACAGAGAGAACAAAAAGTACTCTTTTGCCTCTGAATCTCCTGGTAAGAAGTAATACATCATATGATAATCATGTGCAAATTCTTAGGAGCTATTTTAGGGTCCATTTCATTTCCAAAATTACAAATAACCTTTTGAAGGGAAGCGGTCCAACAGCAATCTTAGAAGGGGCTCCTTTGCATTGTAAATATGATTTTATGGTGGTACAGCCCATTTATTTTGTGCCTCAGCGTTCTAAGGAGGCAATTTATAATATTAATGATATTAAGTTTTGTACACATCAAAGGTTATATTTTCTTGCTCAGAGCAGTTCAAGTCTGGCAAACTCTAATGCTCTCTGCTGTCTCTCAATTTTGTGTTTCAGATGTTGTGAACCTGAACCTGAAATCCACCCTCAGAGTCCTCTACAACCTGTTCACCAACTACAAAAATACTGAGTGAACTTTTCCCATTTTACCCCCTGATATTACTTTGAACACTAGCCTGTGCCTGAGCTGATAATTTGCATTACAGTCTGGACACTGGTGGAGATCAACTGGGACGGAAAGTCATCATTATGTGGGACTTAAAAAGACCCAGGGGGGATCGCCAGAAAAAGACTCTGAACGTTAGTATTTAATCTTCCCCAAATGTCAGTATTTATTTATTCCTTGCTCAAATGTTAACTGCAACCCAGGAAGCCCTGTAACCTTTAGCCCTGCATTTGAATACACGGCCGTCACGGGGAAATGTTAAAACTGGAAGACATTTGTGTTTTAAACTGAACTGATTACCCTCTATCGCAGAATATTTTAAAAAAGTGAAAATGCTGATATAAATGAGATAGTATCTAAATATGCTTTGTATAAACATTAAAGGAATTGTTAGATATTTTGGTAAATATGCTTCTTTCCAACCACTCTGTTTGGTCGAATCTGGTTAGCTCAGCTTGGTAAATATTTTAAATGTTTTGTTAAGAAAATAAATATTTTGATTATTTATAGCACATAGATGATAGAAATTACAATTGAATCACGACAACTATGAGATTTAAAGGCCACATTAATATGAATTACATTGTTGGAGTTACAAGCTGGAATGGCAGCCATTGTTGCCTTGCTATGCTAGTTACATTAGCAGGAGTTTAGCTGGGCTTTTTAAATGTTTTGCGGCATCATAACTGGATTTACAGTACAATACCGTGTTGCCAATTTTACTTATGCGGAAAATTTTGTGAATTACCAAGACTCAAGTTGCTATTTTTCATGGGTTGCAGCTAGTTTTGGTTTCGCTAGCTGTGGCTATCCCATCAGCTAACTCCATGTCTTTAGCTATTTGGCGGGCTTTTTTGTTGTTGTTTTCAGCTGTAGTTACTGAAGATTTAAAAATTAGTTTCTGTTGCATATTTTGTATTTAATTAGCTATAACTGACTTTATTTGGCTTTTTGTAACGCAGAGCTATATTCCTCTATTTCTCAGCTAAGCTAATTAGCGGCTCGCTGTTTGACATTTTGGGGAATAACATGCCCCAAACATGCTATTAACATGCTAGCCAAGAGTTAATTGGGAAGATAGCTCCACTGTCATGCCTGTATTAATCGGTCAGTTTAACAAAAAATGTTAAACCAGGAAACAGTGTGGCTCTGTCCATATGTTATATCCTATTTATTTTATAAATATGTGCAAACATCAAAGTGTAAAAGTTCATGCAACAGAGCATATATGAGCAGTATATGATACAGAACCATGTTTTGTATATTCCTCCCATAGCTATGCTCATTTCCTATTACCTGTGAACTATTCTTATTTACCCTGAACTATGCACACCATATTTCAAGCTATATTGAGTGTTGCCTTCCACCTTAAGTGCAGTGTGTTCTCAACGTCCCAGGAGGGTCTCAGTCAGAGTATCCTCGTATTGACCGGCCTTTCAGACGAGTCTCCGAGGAGGCCTGGACCTCTCACCGCTCTCCTGAAGCGGAGCCGGGCCAGCGCTGCCACCTGGAGACCTGCTAACATGTACAGTGCACGACTGCTCATGCATTTTAAAGCCTGACTGAATTATTGAGAAAATGGATGAGTCAATCTAGGCTGAGTTAACACTGGGTGGCTAACCCTGGTGCGTTTTTATTTTTATTTTTGTTTTTATTTTTTAAAATTTTTGTTTTTATTTTTAACTTGCCTATCAAGAAATAAATGCCTGGAATCAAACAGAATGAGAATTTCATTTTGGCCCTTGCTTGCTTGATAGGTTAGATTTGCTTTGGCTTTTGAGCGAGATTGGCTTTGGAACAGCCAATTCCTACAATTTGGGTTTAGCTAAAGGAATTATGGGTTTATTTTAGGCCTTTATTTTCTTGTCTCATTCCTTTGTTGCTATGGTAACCTTCCACATCCCCCAAATTGCCCCTTCCTCTGGCTGATGGGTGGTCCTTTATCTTTTCTTCAACGAGGCTGGTGCACACACAGAGGTGGTTGTTTTGTTGCCTCTATCTCTTTCTTGCTTTCTTCTTTTTCTGGCGTGTTTGTTGTAGAATAGGGAAGGCTGGAGACCAGATGACGGAAAATTGATCCAGCCGGTCACAGATGGAGATGTGTGAGTCGAGCTTGAGTGGTTCAGGCCTCCGAGTGTCACGTTTCTCTCGGCCCTCCTGAAGTGTGGTTTTTCAAACAATACATTTGGACCCAAGAGTCCTCCCTCTTCTCATCCACTCAACATGCACTTATTATTAAAGTCTGAAACATGGTCCGTGACACAGAACATAAATACACTTATCAGAAAATGCTCTGCTGCAAAGCCAGTATGAGAAAGAGGAAGTGCTACCTACTTCTCTGCCACATCCTCTCATTTCAGATTATCTTCCCTTTCCGACCCTGTGACATGTTATTTTCTCTTAAAGCAACAATTTGAAATCGAGCGCAGTCAGGCCTTTCTCATTGATAGGATTTACAAGAGCTGCCATTCAGATCGAGTGCAGCTTTCCACTTCTTCTATCGCTGTTTTGACAGTTTGTGGAGTTGACATCAGTTAAGGAAGTCGATTCAGCAGAAGTCGCACGGTTCTGTCGCTCTCAGAGTGCTGAAGGTAAGCTTATTCAAAAAGACTTTTTGTTTATGACCTTGTTTGAAAGTTACTGTCAACCTCAGGAAAAGGAAGCCACACAAACATAAAACACACAGAGAAAGAAAAGTTCCTCGTTGAGGCTTTTCTTTTCGCCAGACCCAGGAAACAACAGTTTGACATGCTCCAGGTCACGTCTGTTTTGTCAGCAAGTGTTGCTTTATATTTTTTGCTGTTCTTTGTCTTGGACTGAATGATTCAAAATGTTCAGAGGGAGTAGTACGGCCCAGCCAGTCTGCAGGGACCTACAGTACTTGATGTGTTTAGTGTGCCACTGAAAAAAAAAAGAGAAAAGGAAGTGAGGAAACTAAACATCTTGCTTCCTCAGACTGACAAGTTTCTGACCAGATCAGTTGGATTCTGTGCTCCTCTGTGTTTGTAGAAACTTTTAACACCCTCAGTCAGAAATAACATCTTTCAAAGCCCTGCTCTAGAAGTGCATTCTAGCTGAGCTGAGCACAAGGCTGATTTTCTTTGTACTTGAAAAGCATCAGTTTGAAGGTACACATTTTTCACTCAGCAGTAAGATGCCTGTCAGTTCAATCAGCATCTTCCACTGCTGGTCAGTGAGTCAATCTCCTGCAGCAGCTGAAAGTTGAGCAATATGGTCAAGGACACTTACTGAGCTGCTGCTGAGAGACTTTTAAGTCTTTCTTCAGTCTGCTGTGCTTTATGTTTGAATGTTGCTTCTGAAGGTGTTGGAGCACAGTTGACTCTTCTGCAGGTTTTATTAACAGGCCAGTGGAATCGAATAGCGATGGAGGCCGACATCTTTGAGTACCACAAAGAAGAAGACAATCTGGATGTGGAGTCTTTTCAGGGTACGTGTGCATTCAGTAAACTGGTATGAATCCTATCATACTTTATGTTATGGCAGGCTTTGCAAACCATGTGGATGTGCTTTAGAAATGTCAATATTACATCACTGCTACGATCTTTTTCAAATAATGAATCTACCCACATCAGTGGAGTAGAAAAAATTTAATACAATACAGTTGAACAGCACCACAAACTGCAGTCTTCACAATAACCATTAAGTTGCATCAACCAGCCGAAAGCATTGAAAGAAAAAGCTGAACAGTATACGCCCAGTAAGAATTCTTCCCTCTTATTCCAAGCAGTGATAGGCTGCTTTTAATGTGTGGACCCTATTAAAATCTGCTATCAGGCTTTCAGGCCAGCAGAGATTTTAAATACTCTCTGGGTATATTATCCCTGATAGTGTAGATACAAGTATTGAGCTATCGATGGTGAACATATAAGTAAACCATTTATCTGATCGGCTGAAATCCTCTCCTGGAGGGCGATATTTGCTCTTCTTCTGTTGCTGCTAAGTGCCTCAGAAGAGAAAGCTGTAAATCACATATGAAACAAACCAGATCAAGTGTCAAGCATAGGTGGCACCAGTGTCCCGCAATAAGGAGTCACGACTCATCTTGCTCCAAGGATCAACTTACCTCAGTCTCCACTATCCACCTACCTGGCTTTGTAGCTATGTTTAGTTTACTAGTTGGTCACTAACTTTGTCTGTATCATATGGTAGATTTTGAAAACCTCCAACTGCGTCTGGAAACATCTCTTTTAAAGACTAAAGTTGGCCATAAAACCAAAACAATAAGCCAAAAGACATTCCATACTGCAGAGTCGGAGTGGGTTTGTCATTATGAGCATCAGAATTCACATTTCACATGGTCCTTTTGACCCACGAGCAATATACGTTTTTTAATGAGATCAGATTTTAATTATAATACCAAGTCATAAGATGATTGACAACATGTAATGCAGACAAATGCTTGCTGTGAGGAATTGTACAAATGAAAACAAATGGCTGCTTGAAACTATAGAAAAAACATCCAGAAATGCATGAAGGTCCTGCATTTGAAACGGGTCAACAAAAACGCAATGTCTATGTGGATGTAATTAAGCAACAAACACAGAAATATTGCCAAATATATGACATTTATAAATTAAATCAAATATTTGAAGTATAAGAAATGATTAGACTATCAATCACAATTTAGATGGTGAAAAAAGTCATTAATCAATGCAGTTTGTTTTTTATATTCTTACAGGAGATAAGAGGAAACTCATTCAGCCAGCATCTTTAAAAGACCCAAAACTTGAAAAGCTAAAGGAGGTAAGAAAAGAATTCCGTCCACCTACATATAGACCTTTGTCTGAGTCTTTGTCTTCTATTACATATTTGCTTTAACATCAAACCCGTCCTGGGCAACCGCTGATCCAAGACTCCCTGTGTGTCTTTAAGGGGCTGCATACATGCTTCACAGGAAACACTGTGCATCTCTATAATGTTTTTCCTGCATGCATAATGTGCTCCTGCATGTGGATGAGCAGTAAAGAGCATGAATAATATCGGATGCAGGGAGAGAGGTGGAAGGATCAGTGAAATTTTAATGAACATAATTATAAGAGGTGATGGGAGACAGATCAGAGTGTCATGGGAGCCGACAGAGTCTGATTTTAAAACACATTGTTATGGATAAAGATGGCATCTCAAGTGCTTCATGCAAATGGAAACTCTAAATAATCCTGACATGTCTTGCATAAAGAAGAGGAAAACAAGTGAAGAATAAAGTTATTTTTTGGATAGTACTTTGTATCTGTCACCATTTCTATTTAGGTTAGGATCTTATTATCTCTGAAAAGTGATTAAGAGAATTTAAAAAACAGGGTTTCGTGCTGTTTTTTCATCTGCCACACTGCCACAAAGAAAAATATGTATGAAAGAAGATGAAAGTGTTTCAAATCTCTGACTGTGTGATGAATTATGACTTGGTAGGAACTGGTTGATTGGATCAATAAGGCTTTGAAACCGGAGCACATAGTGGTTCAGAGTCTGGAGGAGGATCTGTACGATGGGCTGGTACTTCATCACCTGCTGTGTGAGATAATGCACATTTGATATTTCATTAATCATATCATAATTCCACTCAATCATTATGTTAATTCAAAGATTAAAAACAAACAAATGCTTTAAGCGGTTCAAGCTGTGTCTGACTCTAACTTGACAAATAAGGATTTTCTGATTCCTGCAGCCAGGTTGGCAGGTGTGCACTTGACCATGGACGAGATAGCGCTGACCAGCACGGCTCAGATCCGCAAACTGGAAGTGGTCCTGGAGGAGTTGGATAAGAGGCTGGGTCTGCAGGACTGCAGTGACATCAAATGGAATGTCAAACGTGAGTCATGCATGCTGACTGGGCTTCAACAACAAAGCAACAAGTCAACAAATGTTCCCTTCTGGCAGCAACTTCACATTACAGCAGGATTTGGTGCTAGCTCAAGGGTGCCATATAAGCTCACACCAACTGTGAGGGATTTTAGAGGAGATAAAATTCACTGACACTATGGGGCTCTGTTTTAATCACCTGTTGGTGGATTATTTGATAGTGCTGGGGTGTGGAACAAAGAAAGACGATGCTAATAACTGCAATATTAGAGGCAAATGAACACCTGACAGTAATACTTGAATGGTTTTGCTCCTCTTCTTTCACTGATCTGGATGATGTGTAATTTTTCTCTTCTCTAAATTCAGACAAAACTGTAGTTTTTCTATTTTGCCCTAAAAACCTCAAAAACACATTATCTAACTTTATGGTTGCTCTGGATGGCCTCCAACAGGACTGAGAGGAACAATGGAGTTATTTTTGACCAGGTACATCGTTTAAGTCACACATAAAACCATTTTTGGGACAGTCTTTTTTTTTGTTGCCTGCATTACATTGTTAAAACGGGAACATCCTGTCTCAGAGTGATGCTAAAAAACTGGTCCACACATTATTTCTGTGCTGGACTGCTATAACTCCTCATTGTCCCAGTAACTCTCTAAAAAGCCTCCAGCTGATGCAAAATGCGGCAGCGAGAGCACTGACAGGAAAAAAGCAGAGGAGATCATATTTCTCCTTTATTAGTTTCTCTTCATTGGCTCCCTGTAAAATCCAAAATAGAATTATAAATGCGTCTCCTTACTTACAAAGCCCTTAATGGCCAGGAAGCATCATAACTTAAAGACCTTATAGTACTGTATTATCCCAGTGGAACACTTTCCTCTCAGAGTGCTGGCTTGCCTAAAGTTTCTAAAAGTAGAATTGGAAGCAGAGCTTTAGCTATCAGGCTTCTCTCCTCTGGAACCAGCTCCCAGTGTGAATACAGAGAGTGGACACCCTATCTGCTTTTAAGATTAGGCGTAACATTACTGTGGAGTACTGAAAGTGCCAAATTACAAAAGTAAATCAATAAAAGAATAACAAAAAAAAAAAAAAGGAAATAAAAAGAAGAATGAATAAAAAAATAAAAAATAATGTGGCAATATAAAGCAATATTAATCAAGAATGAATCCATTAAAAAAAAAGGCTAACAAAAGTAGAAATATAAAGACAGATAAATTAAATTTAAAAAATAAGAATTTATTCATTCTTATTTTTAAAAATTATTTCTTTATTTTAGTGTTTTATCATTTTTTAAATTCATTTTTTACTTTTTATTATTTTTTTCATTTTAAATTTTTAAAATGTTCTTGTTTTGCTTTTAAAGTCCCTTTTAAATGTCACTTTAAAAGCAAAGTAAATATGTGAAGAAAAATGTGCGCAGTCGAAATGTTGTTGTGCCTTTGCTTTTAAAGCGACATTTAAAAAGCACTTTAAAAGCATAAATAAATAAATAAAAATAAAAAATAAAAATGAAAAAAATATTAAAAAAATAAAAACTAAATTGGAAAAATAATAAAAAATAAAGTTAAAAATAAAGTTAAAAATAAAGAAAATCAAAATGATAAAAAAAACATTAAGAAAGTGTATTTTATTTTCATTATGTTATTTATTTGTCTTTAAGTTTCTACTTTTATTAGCCTTTTCTTTTATGAATTCATTTTGATTATTATTGCTTTTTATTGAAACATTATTTTGTTTTTTTATTTTGCGTATTCATCCTTTTATTTCCACTTTTATTTTATTATTCTTTTATTGATTTATTTTTGTAGTTTGGCACTCTCACTACTCAATACATTATCGACTGGCGACAATAAAATATCTAATGTTTCAAAGTAAGTATTATATATAAACGTTGAGCTGGTGACAGTTTGCTGCTGTTATCAGCATGTTCAATTTCTTATGACAGCAAACAATACTGAATCAAAAACCCAATCAGATGTAACAGGGCACAGTTGTTGTGGTTACCTTGCTGAGGTGTTGGAGATTTGCAACCTGTTGCTTGTCTTCTCAACCACTCCCTGTAATATTTTAAATTTTTCTCTGACTGTTAATCGACCACCCACAACTTGATGAAAACAATCCTTTCTTGCCTTAAAATGGCCTAAATATCTCTCTACACTGTTCCTTTAGAATCTGTAGATCTATGAAGTCCTGCAAGTTCAGAAGTGGGGCCTTAATGGATTAGACTTGTTATTCCAGAACATTCCACAGAAACTTAATTGGATTGACATCTGGAGAATTTGAAGGCCAAGTCAACACGTCAGAGCATTTCTGAATATTTTTTGTGGCAGGATCTGTGGCAGAATGTGAGATTTTATACATAACAAACCTGAACTAATCCTGTGATCTTGCAACATGGGGCTTTCTGCATTCTTCTTCTTCTTCTTCAGAATCAGAATTTGTGGTTCTAACATGCATGGATCAATTACTTCAATATTACATCTTGCCTCAGTGCAGCATTGTGTACTTCTACAGTGTTTGAGCAGACTTGTTTTCAAGCTGGTGTGCTTGAGATGCAGTGCGGAGCGGCGAGAGAAGCAGAGACTTTATAGATCTGCACATACAAGGGGAAGCAATGGTGTAGAGTAACATCTAAGCCATTTTTAAACGAGAAGGGATTATTTTAATGTAAAAAACAACAAAAAGTTGAGTTTTTAGGGTTTTAATTAATGAGAGTGATTCAGCAGTTTGTGTTGCAGTCGCTCCAATCTGGGATCAGATCACACAGGAAACCCTGTCGCTGGTTCACTGGTTGTCCTTCTTCCTCCTACTGGTTGTACTAACCGCTCCATACTGGGAAGACCCCATAAGACCTGTCATTTTGAAGATACTCTAACCCAGTGTTCCAGCCATCATATTTTTTCCCCCTGTCAAAGTCACTCAAATTCTTATACTTGCCCATTTTTCCTGCTTTCAACACATCATCCTCCAGAACTGCCTGCTGATTTGCTGCCTAATACCCTTGACAGGAGCCATTGTATCAAGATATTCAGTGTTTTTCACTTCACCTGCCAGTGGTTTTAACGTTGTGATTGATCAGTGTAAAATGGCTGTTTTTTCTTTTCATCCACATCTTAAGGACTCTACCCTCAAATATTCTGTGGTAATTAAATTGCAGAGCTATGTTTCAATTTGTTATTAATCCAAGAAGCTTACATCCTTTCCTTGTTTCCATACTGGGTGGCACAGAGTTCTGTTATGTCAGTGAAAGTTGATGTTTTTTGTGTTTTGTTCTCTGCTGTTTGTCTGTCAGTCATCCACAACAAAGACCTTCTGGCCACTATTCATCTGCTGGTTGCCATGGTGAGATGTTTCCAGCCTGAGCTGGATTTGCCACCAAATGTGAAGGTTGAAGTTGTAGTCGTGGAAGTGAGTTTCAGCTCGTTCTTTGCCACGTTTTCTGCTCCAGATTGCTCTCAGACACATCTTGTGGAATTGCTGCTCAGTTGTGGTTCACTTTAATTTTCACCCAGGTCAGCAAAAGTGGAATCAAATCAGATGTGCAGACAGAAGTTCTAACAGAGGAGAGGTGAGTAGATTTCTGTGCTGTGTGATTCTGCGAATGTGAGAAAACCTCACCTCAATTCACCTTTTTTTTTTTTTTTTGACTTTTTCAGCAGCAGCATGAGCTCCGACTCCCCCAGCAATGCTGAAAGTGAGTGAGACTGGTCAGAGGTTGAGCTGATGTGACATCTTGAATGTCATCCAAACAGCATTACAGCCTACTAACACATTTTCCTGGCTGTCTGCTCACCCAGGGGAGGATCCCATCGAGCAACTGCTGAAGCTTGAGGCTCATAAGGTCAACACAGTGAAGAAGGTATTACAAGGACAGGAGAAGTGGTGGGATAATATACTGGTACTGCAGAACATCAATGCGATGCTGTATGTTTGCATCCTTAATCTAAACTTACAACATACGAGCATAGCTGGCTAGTGTAGGTTATGAATATGGATCAAATGTGCAAGAATAGCTTTTTGGTGCACTTGCAAATCTTCATATACAGAACCAACTCATGACTATTTTTCTTTATTAATTAGTGTCTACTTATAATTTTCCAAAAAACAAAAAAGCAGGGATCCTCAAAACCTAAAGACTATGTTGATCCTCATCCCTTTCCTGCAGAGTCACCATGATTCTAATATTTATGTAATACTTCTTGATGAACTTCCAACAGATTTGGTTCCCCCCTCAGGATGAACTCTTATTATTATGGTTGTGATTTTCTGGTGTTGGATCTACTCTCTTCATCAAAGCAGGAATGTACTTTATCCAATTCTGTGGTTTCTGACCAAATGTTAGAAACCATCAACCTGAGCTGTACTTTGAATTCATGCTCATTCTAAACCATGACCTTCTAACAGACTAATGAATGTGGCGAGCATTAAACCTGTTAAACATTAACATTACCGTTATGAGCATTTTTCTTTTTAGCATGCTTCGATGTAAACTCTTGTTGCTTGATGATGCATGAGTCAATCATAAAAAATGGTTGGTTATTAATTTTCTAGGAATTGACTAACCTTTTTAAAACTGATTTCAAGGCGATTGGGTGGATGTGAATCAGAATTCAGTTCCATTAGGAGCCTGATATTATAATCCTTCATCCTTTTTGCTACGAACTAAAGTGTCGGGTTTTCATCAAAATGCCTTGAAACCACTCCTGAAAATGTCTGTTAAATGAGGCCAAGTTTAATTTCCAACTTTGTAACATCCTAGTTTTTCCATTTTCAGGCCATCTTACATTTTGTCAACCAGAACGTGGCAGCTATGGGTCTGCAGGTGGCTGATATGGACAAACAGGTATAAACCAGCAATTGAATGCCGTTTTGTGGTGCTTGCAGGCTTTCCTGTAACAAAAATAGACCCACTGATTACCTCGTGTTAGATTATATCACCTCCGTGGACATGTTCCAATGTCCTGTGTGTTTCCTGTCCAGTTTGCTGATGGTGTGATTCTGCTGCTGCTGATTGGACAGTTGGAGGGCTTCTTCGTTCCGCTCTTTGAGTTCAACCTGACCCCTGTCAATGACTCTGAGATGGTACAGTATTGATTCACTTTGGATTTGTGACACGGTGCCACAAGTTGATGCTGGGCAGAGGCTCACCTGCAGCACTTAACTTTATTATATCATCACCATTGTCCTGCCTGTAGATGCTCACAGACGGTGTGGGTTTCATTTATCAATAATCAGCTGGTCAAAAGAGAAATTTGGGGAATTTGTCCTATACATAGATTGCGTCATTCTGATTTACAAGTGCTAAAAATACACTTTTCACAGATCTAATTTGAGCTAATCTAATCTCATTCCCGTAAGAGCACAGCGGATAATGAACTACAGTGAGAAAACCTGATCCAAAACCGTGCCTGTTACAATATATGATAGGATAAAATTAATATTTTACAATTCCTATAATAAAAGTGGATGCATAATTACTACTGTGTCATGGCTCACTTATAATGATATCTTTGAGCTCACTTTACTTGAAGCAATAGGACGAGTCTATAAAAAAGTTATGGCTCTTTTATCACAGATATGAGTAGTTCATGAATAACTTACGGAGGACAGATACTGTGATACTCAATTTCTGACTTTTTTTGATATTTTGAAAAGAGGAAAACATACCGTAATGCGTAACAATACACAAACAGAAAATAAAAAGAGGCATAGATTCAGTTGAGTGGATGATTAAAACCCTGGAGTCTGCTGTAGAACTGCACACTGCCAAAATGTCCTGAACTAAAACAAGCTCCTCTAAAACTTTGTAGGCTCCAACATATAAAACCCTGCAGTAAATCAGTCAGATTTTACTTAATATACCTTTTGGAGATTATTCACAAACCATCAGCTACATGATGCACCAGATAGATGTAAACAGGATTTGAATGTAGACTTACTTATATATTTTTAATAATGTTAAGTAGCTTAATCATTAGCAACTGATATTTTATTCATGTATGAAACTGATTTACAGCTATAGCTGTCAAGTAAATGCATTAGATTAGCATTTCAAATATAAATAGAGTGGAAAGTATTGCAAATTGTAAATATTTAAATTCAAGCACCTCAAAACTGCATTTACTTGAGTAAATAAATTTAACCGTTGTCACATTTTACTGCTGGATATTAGAAAAAAAATGTCATCAATTGTATAGACCTGCAGTAAATACAGTTAACAACCTAATCATTTGGATAAAAGTGTGGCTTTTGTGTGTTGTTTCTCTCTGACCCCTAGCTCCATAACGTGACCTTGGCCTTGGACCTCCTCAACGATAGCGGCCTGCAGCTGTCTACTGTTGACCCACAAGGTGAGGAAAACCCACTGAGTCCACACAAAGCACGCTCTGACTTATTTAAAGCAGATTTACTCAAATTAAAATGCCAGACACAGAGGATGAACAAAACAAAAACAGAAGGCCTGTGAGTAGAACAACTATAACAACAAAACGGCGCAGCTCCGAGACGTCAAACTAATTCAGATGATATCCTCTATCATGAACATTTATCTGGATGACAGGGAAATGCCAAAATCTGTTTGTATGTCAGGCGAGGAGGGGGATCTCTCCGGTAGCTTGAGTTAATCTCCGCTGCACCGCGGAGGGAGGGTTTGACAGCGTTTCGGAGGGGGAAGACGGAATTGCTTGCGGAATATGAATGAGCGCGACTTGTGTCTTGATGAGTATCACTGCGGATGATTGGCTCAGTCCGAGGCCATCATCGTTCATTTAGAGCGGAGCAGTGGGGGAGACAGTCTCAAGGGGACGATGTCACTCCGGTGTCCGCTGATAGACACAGAGATTTAACCTTGCTGCTATGGCTATATCTACCATGTGTGTGTGTGCTTGTCTGGAGGAAGATACGTTATCTGTATTCATGAGCACTGCTACTGTATATCACACAGCTATCAGGCAGATCCCAGGAATATTCAGATTTTATCTCCTCTCTGTCAAACTCATTGTGAAGTTTGGCGTGTTTGTCAGTTTCAACTTGTTACGGCGAGTTATGAGATTTCCAACTGTAAAATAACATGTTTTTGATTTGTGTCATAAACTTGGTTGCGGAGCATTCATCTGAAAAATTATGCAACAGAAAAGCCTCTTTTTTTCTGCACATTTTCCAGTTTGTCTTTTATCTGCAGTTGCAAATGTTAAAAATTCTGCTTTCTCCCCGGTTTAACGAGTTTAGAATAGATTCTTAATATACTGCTCAAGCATTAAATGAAACAAAAGTCTAGATAATGCTTTAAATAATGATAAATTCAAGCACCTCGTCACTAACAGGAATGCAATTTGGCATGTACAAATGATTTAACAAGAGTAAAAACTGCCAATATATCAAATGAATTCATGTAAGAAATCAGTACATTTTTCTGAAAATGCCCACTCATGTAGTGAACAATTATTTCTGTCTTCAACTCAACTGCATATCATCTTTGGTTTGCAAACTATCAGACAATATTTTAAAAAATGTCCCATTTCAATGGGTCCAAATAGATCATCATCAGCAAATGTCTAGTTTTGCTCGACAAACGGTCTGAAACACATTTCATTTACTTGAAAGCAGTTCATTTTCACATTGGAGAAGATTTAGCCAATTATCATAATAACAGTGGATAATTTTTGTTTTAATGATTGGCTAATTTTAATTAAGGCAGCTGTAGTGAATTTTACAACATGCAATCAACTGATGACCTGTAATTAATGTAATTTTAGCCTTCATCAGACAGTGGTGTGAGACAGGAAATCATGGGGAGAGAGCGAGAGACAGAGAGAGATAACATGCAACAAGCATGACCATTCTTTATCCGTAATATTCTGTCATGTTTTAGTCAACTTGCAGGTTTAATTTAGTGTGTAAGGTCACGGTACGAAGATAAAATTAGGTGTAATGCTTCTTTAGTTAATCTCTCTTGTGTGTTTATAAGGTGTTTTCATGGTTTGGGCACAATCCTTGAGATTTAATCTAGGGACCCCATAAAAAATGTTGTTTACACGAGATAATAAACTGTGTCTAAGGTGGCTACACATGCACACTCCTTAGTTACATTGTGGGCTTCTATCACACTGTAGGTAGTGCTGTCAGAATGATTTGTTTTGGGTCAGGGGTTTTTATCACTCCTAGGCCTATGCCTGTGTTTGGGTGTTTACTTTTGACCATGCAGTGCGCATCAATCCATAAGGAGAAGAGTGAAGTAGAGCGAGCCACTGGATGAGTTACTGACTCGTCTAAGTGTGTGAAGCAGTCAATAGCAAATGGATCAACTTCACTTCCCTGCAGATCCAGTATTGACAAGACGAGCTTCTCTCTGAGCTTGACTCTCCCTCTCACAATCACTAAAATTTTCCCACAATGTTGCCCGCTGGCCATATAGCCGGTAATTGTAAAATAAGTCCTCAACACGATAACTGCTAATGTAAGGACCAGCAAAAATTAATCTAAGCCAGGAGCAAGTGGCTAATTTAATTCATTTTTTTTGTGTCTTTTTAATTAACGGCATAATTGCTGTGATGGAATGAAGAATCCCAGCACTCAGGGTCTAAAATGGGAGCGCGCCGTGTGCATTAATTAGGTTAGCCAGTGCTGGAGTCGATCTTTATGCCACATTCACTCAGTTAGAGCATCTCACAACAGAGAGCAATTTTGTTAGGATCTCATCTCACCAAAGATGTATTGATTAAGTTTCCGGCTAATGTTGTCTTTGTCCTCCTGATCTATGACCTGTTGGGATGGATTGCAAGAACAGTGATTAGCTAATGTTGGTAAAAAGTGTCCTCATATTCTCACCGCCTCAGTGGCTCCAGGATGCTGATTGTGCATTGTGTCTCCTGTGACAGATATTGTCTCTCAGGACGTCGTCGCCACCTTGAAGGTCCTGTACGCCCTGTTCAAGCGGCACAAAGAGAAGTGAAATAAAAAGGCATAATGAGAAGAGGAACTGAGCAACTGGAAATACAAACAATGCTGGGTGGAAGCTTTGGCCAATTAGCAAAGGATGCTGTTGACTGCTTTTTAGACACTTGACTGACGCTGTCATTCAGGATAATGTACAGGATAATACTGGTTTTATGCAACCTCGATTTTCAAACATTTGGCCATTATTTCAACCTATTAACAGTCACAGTGAAGTGGTGGTGCATTTAACATATGAGAGATAATTGACTGTTTCTAGGCACTGAAATAGGGCAGAAAAAAGGTTCTTTTTTTTATTTATCTGCCTTTAGCCAACACATATTGTACGTCAACATTATATCTTGTAGTTAAATAAGCAGCACCAATAACTTCAGGTTTCCAGGGCTCAGGTGTTGGAGGCAGCTGCTGCAGCAAATGGCTTTGGCAGGAATGTATCAGAAGACTGATAGGAGGAAGTGTAAAGTTATGACTGTTTGCATCTTACTGAGCCAGGGATGGGAAAGCATGAGTAAAGCAGCTGATGCAAGTAAGTTAATGCAAATAAAACTCCAGATAAGAGCTCAATGACATCAGTTAAAAACAGCAGACAACTGATCAAACAGCTTTTAAATAAACTCCCATGCTTAGTCGAACACCTTTCAAGAAGAAAATAAAGGAAGGGATGGTGAAATTGTTACCCAAGCTCTCTATTGTAAACATCCATCACAGTTTACGTCCCAACTTCCTCGTTTCCACAGTTTTCTTGTGCAAAGTAGTATTACGACAACCCAAGTGTGCCAACTCTTCTCCACAGCCTGCCTGATCATCTAAGCGCTCGTGTTGTTTGTCACCTCTGACTTGTAGCGATGTCGTCAGCTCTCACATCTCGGCAATTACTTTAACGCTTACATCTTTATCATATCTGAAGAGAATAACAGTCCAAGCGATGAAATAAGACCTAATTTGTAATAGTACTGAATTACTACCCTTTAAAATGATGTAAGAAAATAACCGTCATCAGATGCAGACTCATGAGTGCCAGTGAATATATGTCTGCATGGTATGTTTAAGAGTAATTAAAACTATTATCTGTTCGCATCTTATTGACAGCATAAAGACAATGACATTTTAATTGACAGCGTAAATAATGTGTCGACTTTTCTTTGTGTACGTGTTTTTTTTGGTTCGCATTCTGTCGAAAGATGTTGGGTGTGGATGTCAGCGCGCTTCATTCAAGTGTCGCTCCCTAGTAATTTAGTGCTTTTTCCTCTTTCTCCTTCTCCTCTTCTTTCGCTGTATTTCCTTTTCAGCCCGACTATTGGAACATGTCACTTTTCATTCTTGCCATACCGCTCCCCTGTCTTTGACTGTCACTTCTCAATAAGCAATGTGAATTTCTTTTCCTGCCTCTCCATGCGTTCCTGCCGGCAGTGTGTGACCTCTTTTTGTCCCCCCTTTTTCTATTGAATTGTTCACAACTCAGTGCCACACAATTGCAGAGAGCATCCAGCGACAGACAAACAATAGACAGGATTATAACAAAGCGCATTTAGCTAATTATGTGATGAATTTTGAAAAAAAAAGTCAACTAAAAGTGGGAAAGTGCACTTAATTTTCTCCTCCTATCTTCATTTAAATATAATTTATTCAAACCATTAGTAGTTTTTATGTGGAACTCTGTTATATTTCGTCGTTCCTTTGTGTTAAATATTAATATCAACAGCTGTCTACCACTGCGTCTGTGGTCTAGCCTTTTAGATTCAGTTTGTGTATTAGCAAATTGCTGTGCGTCTCTTTGTTTTTGTCTTTGGGTTAATGTATGAAATTTGTGTCCCATTAAACAGTAACAGCCACGACTTTCACACTTCTCATTCCCTTCAGTTTCGTTGCAGATGTGTTTGTTGACATTCAGGAGAGCCAATTTATTTGTTTCCACCAAGGTGATGGAATGTACTCCTAATTCCCATTTTCATTTCCCTTGACATTTCAAAAAGTTTGCATAAAAATTTGCACGGCAGTCAGATGGAAACGTCGCTGCTGTATGTCAAGAGACACCGGAGATAGTGATGGAAAGAAACACCGCAGGGAGGTGCTCATCATTTAATGACCATTTTATTGGACATTTTACATTTTATTAAATCCAAATGACAAAGTTGCTCCTTTCAAATTTGCAGTCTTTAAACTGTTCACCCTTTGTGATTGTAAACTAGATTTTGCTTGTTGAAAATCACTTTATGGAAGCAAAATCCACTGTGTCGCTCAGTAAAAACATGACAGAAGATAGTTTCAGTCAAACGCTCATTTTGGCCATTTTAATGCTTCCCAATGCGCATTATGACACATTACATGAAGCCTTGCAGTTGCTCAAGCAGACAAGGAAGTACTTTCAGATGAACATAATTTCATATATTGCTCATTGTTGTACAAATCTTTTCTCTAACTTGAGACAATGTAGACACTCGGTGCTCACTCTAGCTTACACGAGTGATGAACTCAGCATCTTTGCTGCTTTACCTCTGGATGCTTTGAGCAATTCATCTCCCTCCACCTCCACAGCCTCAGCCTCCTGCTATACAGTGCATTCACGTTCACCGAATGTTGTGTATTTGATTTGTCAGTCGGAGGGATTTGGAATTCAGGGATGGTCTGATCAAACACGCTTAGATATATTGCACATCATCACATGAAAAAATAAAACCAAACTAAAAGTATACTGCTGTTGGAATAAATGGTTAAAACCTTGACGCAAGTGTCTCGACTGGAAGATAGTGACGTGATGTCTGTGCTGAGATAACTGAGTCACCTAACAGAGTCTCTAAATGACAACAGGTTTGCTTTTCTGATGTGACATGTATTTGAAAGTTTCACATGGATGCTGTTGTACTTGTCTTACATCTTAAGAGCTAATGCTGTCAATATTTGTACTTTTAACATTGGAACCCTGCATCGTTCAAGGTCCAGTGAAAGTTGTCAGAGTAATTTCTGACTCTCTATGATACACCCTGTTAGTTACATTGTAATTTCATTGTGTGAAATGAAACTGAATGAAACACTCATCAGTTGGTATTGATATTTATCACACTAACTGATGCAACGGAGAACAAGGGAGCAACAATTGGGCATTTTAGAGGGAAATGTGGAATGAAAGTCCATCCATTATCTATACAATGCTTAATCCTCACTATGGTCGCGAAGGAGCTGGAGCCTATCCCAGTTGACACCCTGGATAGGTCACCAGTCTATCGCAGGGCTACACTTAGAGACAGACAACCAAGCACACTCACATTTACACCTACGGACAATTTAGAATCACCAGTTAACCTCAGTGTGTTTTTGGACTGTGGGAGGAAGCCAGAGAACCTGGAGAGAACCCACGCTGCACGGGGAGAACATGGAAACTCCACGCAGAAAGATCCTCACCGGGATGTGAACAGGGGATCTTCTATCTGCGAGGCGACGGTGCTGACCACTGAGCCACCTTGCAGCCCTGAAATGAAAGTGATTTTTACATTACATATTTCACAGTAGGATATGCTCAAACTGGAGCAGTATTTTCTGCTTGGTCCATCATATAACCTCATAGATTTATTAACGGCCATGAATAAATGACAAAGGCATTAGTTTCCGTTGTACAGCACCTACACTGCAGTCCATCCAAAGACAGTCCGACTCACTAGTTGTAGATTTTGGGTAAAAGCCTGCCATTTCTGCTGCAGATTTCACATGGCTTTGTCCTCCCCTTCCACTTTCCATGCTTTGCCTTTTTCAAACTCCCCTCAATTACAGGAAACAACAACAACCTCTGGGCCACAAGGCTGAAGGTTTGGATCCTGCAACAAGGTAGACTCCTTGTCATGAATTTGCCATTTTAAAGACAGTGCTCGCCTTCGCCCCGTGCAAATGTTGTAGCAAAACAATCTCACTGTTGTGCAGAGGCACCATCACTGCTTTGCCCAAGATGAGCATGATGAGTTTTTAGAATTATAAAAAAGAGGGTTTTCTTCTCCCCTATAGTAGAATGACAATGAGGTGCAGTCAGACACTGTGTAAAAAGGTTTGATAGGAGACTAATCCAAAGTATATAAACTGGTCTCACTCTGTGCTTTGGGCAAGCATTGTAATTTCCCAGTAAGTACTTTGCTTTACTGCAAAAGGATTCACAAGTTCTTTGTTGTTTGAAGATTTGTACCCCTTCTCTTCGAGATTCCCAAGAGCCCGTTGCTGTATCCCAGTACTGTAGAGTTCCCAAACACCCTTGTCTATCTTACTGTATCAGCATGGTTTAGGCAACGTGTTGTAACAGTTAAATATTTGATTCCAAATAGTATCAGAGTTGTTTTCACCAGACTTGAGTATTGTTTCCTAGTATGGATTCCATAAGTAGCCATTATTACCACAAGGTCTCACTGTATAGATTTCATTTCTCTTTCCCTCTAAAATGCCCAGTTATTGTTTCCTCGTTCCCTATTGTCTTGCTTTCTTCCATGTAGCCAGCAGGTAATTGGTAAGTATGTTGTTGTTACCTGATTTATTCAATGGCTGCATTTGACACTGTTATCTGATAATAGAACTAGATTCATCAATCACAAGACTGTTTATGCATGTACCTATAAACATTTGTGTCTTTGATATGCAATTGTGAAGACCTTTGTGACACACAATGGGACCGAGAGTCAGGGAAGATTAATGTCTTTTAGCCACCATATGCATATCAATGACAAGGTCACAGCTTAGTGTGACACCAGTTTCTAATCCATCAGAACAAACAAGGATGCATTTTAGGATAAACATTCAAGGGATTAAACCTGTTCTGCTTCAATGGCAACACCTTTTTGTTCTTCCACAGGACAACGCATCATCCGCACTGACTTCTCAACAATGCAAGACGGTAATAGGAAATAGAAATACATAATTTATACCAACAGTTTAAATCAAGGGCTCAGACTGTTTCAGAAATCATTTAATAATATTTTTTAAGCTATTTTGCCGCTTGGTGCCAATACAGCAGAGGATTTCTCATAAGCTGATTTTGAAGAAAACAAATGCTGTCCCTCAGCCTGGAAACCCACCGGACAAATAGCTGTTGGAGTCCATCCAAAATGCTGACAGGAAACATGAGTAATATCTACCTCCCTTGTCACACTGAACAGATGCATCTTTCTGTGCATGAAAAGGGGAATAGAGCCAACAGAGCAGTATCAGTTTGAGTTAAAAAAAACAAAAACAAAAACAAAACGAAATAAACTGGTGGTTATTCTGTTGCTGTTTCATGTGTTTATGTATGTTTTTACCGACTCACAGAGAAATGACAGTTTTGTGGAGTTCAGAGAGTTCGCATCCCAATTATGTAACACTATTTTTTTGCTGGTAATTAAGTAAGTTTTCTTGGTTTAAATGTAAACTTAAAGGTCTGTTGAGGTCTGCTGTAGAAGTTTCAGAAGTAAACAGCATAGCTTCCACTAGTGTTGCATCCTAATGAGAGGCTAGTAAAACACACTCATCTGCATATAACAAACACTAGAGCGGGTTGACTTTTAATAATTATTTCATAGTGAGAAGAAAAGAAAAAATGGACCCAAAGAACTACCTTGTAGCACTCCACTTACATTAGTTAATCTGTGAAGTTGATGTTGTCCATCCTGAGATTCTGAAAAAAGAAAATCAGTATTTGTACTTCACTTTCAGAGGCTTAAAGTCGTCTTTTTATTTATTTTTTGGGGCCTTTTCCAACTCTCTCTTTTCCTTCTCCAGTTGCTGGGCTCTCCTGTCGCAGCTCTATGAGAGTTTAGAGAGCTTTCGACTGGTTGCATTTTGATGGAAAACTCCCCCTACTATCTCTCTGTCTCATTTCTAAAGCTCTCCCTTTTTTGTAGGAGCTCCCTCTGGTCACTTTTGTCAGCCAGCTGCTTTTGGACTTCTTCCTCCAAAGCATCTCGGTTTGCTCTGTTTGAGACACCATCTCATTCCAGCACCAGCTTGTGCTTTTCTCTGAAGAGCTCCTCCAGCTGGCAGACTTTCCTCTGCAACCTTTCCTCCATGACTTTCACCCTGCTGGACTCACAAGCTCTGACCTTCTTGGTGTCCTTTTTTGTATGCGTTGAAGAAAGGTCATCTGCTAAATGTTCTTTTACTCCAGAGCAGAGAGATGGTGGGAAAAGACCTGATCTCCTGGTTTGCCTTGAAGTTGGGCTTTAGCTCTCTGCTTTTGTGCTCAGTGGCAGAAAGCTTGGCTCCTGCAAAGGTTTATTTTCTTCAAGGAAATGCTGTCTGCCATTTTTCAGAACCAGACTCTCCTTGAGGACCATATCCTTTGTGTGGTCCTCAACTTTTCCTCCATTTCCTTCAAATCTGCTTCCATCTGTCTCCTCATGTCTTCCATCTCTTTGTTTTATTCCTGTGTGGGAGTATTGTAAAGATATGCACCAATACATTTACATATTACAGAGAAGGAATGTGTTATGACACCATGAGGAAAAAAAAAATATTTGAGATATTTTTTCAGCCAACAATTTACTGGAATTCATGTATATAAACCGAATGAGAAGAATTCTGAAAAATAAAGACCACACAACCTTGTAATTAGTAGAAAATGAAAACTCATCGTCAACTTTATGAAATGATGGATCCATTTAGCAGAAATAGGAGAAACAATGAAAAGAAAAGTTGTCTGTTTTGTAAGTTGTTTCATGGTTTGAACCCTGCTGCCTCTTGGTGACATGTTGATGGATGATAAAATTGGGAATGATCCAACATGTGAGATAAGGGTAGAACATTGTTGCATGTCTGACAGACAGATTGCTCCGAAGACACAAAATGTTTTTGAGGTCAAATGGTGAATCTGTGTGAAGTGAGTTTT